GATAAATTAAATCGAATTCTATAGTTAATAATCCACAACAAAATCCATATAAAATGACTATTTGAAAATTTGCTAGAATTCAGTAAAAATTCGTATTTTAGTGCCGAATAATCTTCGAATATATAATCTATTTCTTCATTATGAACTTGCATCATTTAATCTCAGATTCTGTTGATTGTTGCTTAACAACATAATTCGACTTGATGAAATATTTCTTGTTTTGTGTCGAAATGTGAATTCTTCACTTGTCAAATTTTTGCCTTTTGTTTTTCAATATCTATGTGAAAATTCTGTTCGTGGGATAACAAGTGATCCATTGTATTTACTACAGTTGCAAGTAATTTTCACTTTTTAGGATTTTTTCTTAAACTTTCATTAAGTAAAGCTGAAATTGAATGCTTTTTTGACATTTTGAAAATTGGCAAATAGTAAAATAAAGTGGCAAATTTGTGATTGATATATTAAATAGCTTTGAATTCTAATATAATACAAGCATATTATGACGAATAATATATAGTATAATATATAATATGTGACTCCAAATTGTAATATAATATAACGAATAATAGTATAATATTGTATGCAACCCCGAATTGTATTAAAACAATACGAATAATTTTATTTTAATATCCCTTTAATTTAATATTTCTTTCTGATATCTAAAATATCTGAACAAAAAAAACCAACTGGATGTACTTTTTACAGAGAATAGCCATCCTCATCTTCGCAATCTTCGCAACCTTCCCTGCCATTGCAAACTTGCCTTTATATCAATTGCATCAGAAGCAGCAACAGTTCATTCAGTAACACCTGGTGCCGAATCTTCAATCCCTAATATGGCTGTAGAATTGCTTAGAAGAAGACCATCTATTGTATTGCCTGAAATATTGACATATGAAGTTGCGCGAATATCAATACTGGAAGTTGAATTGCTACCCGAAACTCGAATCAGGGAGGATATTGAAAAAGGTTAGAATTAAATTATTGCTGAATTATTAAAATTTATCTTTATTAACCAACTGATTTATTTAGAAAATGAAGAATTGTACATGTGGGTTGAAACACTAAAAAGAGAAAATGCCGAATTTGTAAAACAATTAAATCTAATGGAATATATTAACAACAAGTTTTCTAAAGAATCAGAATAGCAAAAAAATGAAATAGAAGATTTAAAAAAGAAAATTGATCTGCTCAAATATGTGGAATCTAAACTTGATCCTATAGTTATTGTAGAATCTAGAGCAACTGATATATCAGATTTCAAAAGTTTGCTGAGTTTAGAAAAGTGTTGAAGAATTCAATTTAGAAGAAGTAGTAAAGAGACAAAACTGGTAAAATCAGTAAAACCGATTATCGAAGATGAGCAAAATCAAAAGAAGCAAGAGTAGAAATGAAGGCCTTAATGAAAATCATTACTAACAAATATAAACTGAGGTAGACAAAGTTTTTTCGAGTGATATGAATAAAAAAATATTACAAAAGTTGATATATGAATTAATAAAATCCATAATTTCATATTTTAATCCCTCACGAAAGCAAATAAACAAATGATTAAGTACCATCAGAAAGAAAGATATCAGAAAGTAGAAACTGGAAAACTAGAAGCAGACAATTGTTACTTATATATGAATAATCAGTTAAATGAAGTAAGATTAATAATATTTTGTATTTATATTATCTTTAAGTATTAATTTTTAACAAATAATTAAGAAAAGAACACGAAAAATTAAAAGTGTATAGTCACTTATTAAATGAAGGTCAAAGAAAGTTGTCAAATATTGGGATGAAGTAACTAATGTAATAAAAAAACAAAGGTATATTCATCTGAAGAAAATGATATTGATTCAAAAAACTTCACTAAAAGAAGAATAAATGTATATAATTACAATTGGTATTCTAAAGAGATATTTTTTAGTAAAATATTTTATATCGAATAATTACAATATTAATCATAATTACTTATAGTTAAAGGATTTGTTGAAATATTTGGATAAACATTCGAAATTAATTCAAGCATTCCAATCAACTCATAAATAATATCACAATGATTTATATTTTTATGATATGACCTTATCAGAAGATTTATTAAATTGGACATATAGTTTGAAAGAAATTTTGAAACATGAATAAGAAAAAAAGACAGAAAAAGGTAAAAAATTGACAAATAAATCTAAAAAATGAAAAATTATTGAATATGAGAAATTATTAATATATTCAGAGAATGAAAAACAAACTAGAGAAAGTGTATAAATGGATAAAATTTGGAAGTAGTTAGATTAGAAGAAAAAAGCAAAAAATCTTGAAAACATTTGGCAAAGTAAAATCAATTGGAGTTAGTTCTAAAAGAGTCAAGCTGAGATCTTTAAAAGAAAAAGAAAAGCAAGTGGAAAAGAAGAAAAAGGTGAAAGAGAAAAATGACGAATAATTTAGTTAATTGATTTTATGATTTTTTAATAAATTTTGTGAAATTTAAATTTTTTACCACAATAATTTTTTTGGTGAATTTTTTCCCACAGTAATTTTTTTTGCTGAATTCTTTCCCATGGTAATTTTTTTGCTGAATTTTTTACTATAATATTAATTTTTTTGCCAAATTTTTTGCCACAGTATCAATTTTTTTGCTGAATTTTTTGTCCTAATATCAATTTTTTTATCAAATTTTTTGTTGCAGTATCAATTTTTTGTCAAATTTTTTGTCACAGTATCAATTTTTTTGTCAAATTTTTTGTTGCAGTATGCAAAAAAAATTTTTTATCACAATATTGTCAAATTTTTTTTTGCAGTATGTCGATATTTTTTGCTAATTTTTTGTCAATATTTTTAATGCTGAGTGACAGCAATCATAAATAATCCATCAATCTTTTTATTATTAATTTTTGTCAAATTTGACAATAATTTGGTACCCAAATGACACAATATCAACTAATGTAGCTATAAATAATATATAATAAGTTTTTAAAATAAATAATAGTTTTAATATATATATTGTTTAGGTTGTTTTGATTGTTTTGTTTTTAAGGAACTTTTATTGAATCTTGAAATAATTGAACCAACTTGATTTATCAAGTAAACTTAGTTGCTTTGCAATAAATTTAATCAAATTTGGCAATGATTCGACTATTAAATAACGCCTTTATATAAATAGATTTTTCTTAAAAAAAAAAAAAAAAAAAATCAACCTAAAAAGGATAATAATATGCCTTCAATTTATTATTGAAACGATTAATTCTTTGGTTGTTATAAATAATAAATTCGAAATTTTGCATGAAATCAGTAAAAACATTTTTGCAGATTTGTTTTTTTTTTGCTAGTTCATCTGCAAAATTACATGTCGATTAGTTTTCTGATGATGATTCATAAAGAATTAATGCTATGGCTTGATATTCTTCCTATTACATTAAGCAAAAGTCAAATAATGAATAAAAGCAAAGGGTCCAAATTTGTACCATATTGTTGCTTATCTTTTGCCAACTCAAGTAAGCATTCGATTTAGTATGCAGAGGCGTTCCCAAAAATTTTTGGAGACAATGCGCGTGAAACCTGATTTCTCCCGACCACCGCTGCTTAAAGATCCAGCACTGCTTCATGAACGCGTCAGGTTGTTGCTATGACCGAGTTGCGTTGTTTAACTACGCAAACACCCGACATTCACAATTCGGATCCTGAGTTTGACCACCACAAAAGGTGTCATATACAGTATACTGCATACAATACTTTAGATATGAAAGTGATACGAATCACCCAAATAAGATAAACAGTTCTATTGCTGATTTTGATAACAAGAGAGATTTCCTCCCGAAATGTAACCATAATAACCATGAAATCAATGGGTGCATACATACGGTTTGTGCATGTAATGCCGCCCGCGTTACAACAAAGCACTCGTTTAAACGTTTTATATAAGATTTTCGGGGTTTACTTTTTAGGAAAGGCTGTATTAAATTGATTTTTCAATCTGTCAGATTTAACCTAACCATGTCATAGATACATTGCTTTCGGGATTGATCATGCCTTAGGAAGAAAAGAAAAAAAAAAATAATAAGAATCTTTATCGCGTGTAACCTTTTTCAGAGGGTGAAACATTGCCAAGAAATTTGAAGTGATACGATTGTGTGGTTGTTATCATGTGTTGTCACGCTGCAGGAGATTACCACCTCTCTCTAATCAATCGATATTTAATCTACCTATATTCTTGGCATTGATCAAACCAGCCCAGTTATGGTGATTAGCATTTCTCGTGACTTCTCTTGCTCTTTATCTTTTTTTACCCATTCGGAATAGTTTTTTCATTTCTCTCTTATCCATAGCATAAGTAGTGAACAAACGAATCGTTGTTATCCTCATTCTCTTATCACTCCAAGATAACTTTCGGTTTTTTTGTTCGAACCATCAAACAAGAAAATAATAACAATAAACAACAACAACAATAATAATAAATAAATAAAACAAAATCCCCGATTTCAACACCGAAAGGACGACCGGTTCCTTCATTTTTACAATCACAAAATTCCCCTCTTGTATTAACTTTTCTCTCGTTATACACACCGCTGCCTGTTGAAATTTCGGACACTACACATTGCAAATATACTTATCTTTGTGTTATAATATTAAAAGGAATGATATTTATGACATCAAAATTACCATGATACTTCAAGTAAAAACCGATCATATCTTAAATATATAGATAGATAATTTAAAGGTCGATTTGATATACCCACCTCTCCACCCTTTGCAAATCAATAAGCTTGAAATACGTCCGATAAGATTCTTCACAATAACCACTCGCATATAGCAAATGATTGTAAGAAGAATAACCGTCGCTCGTCGAGCGGTGTTCGTTGCAATCACATTCGTGGCATTAATTTATATAGTTTCTCTGAATTCGCTTTATCTCTCGACGGACATACCACAACAATATTACGTCCAACGATGCGATCAAAATCGGTCATCCCGAATACATCATCCGGAAAGAGAAGGCTCATGGCTAGACCGAATAATAGTGAATAACACCATTCCGCAATGGCTCGATCTGTGGATAAGCAAAGGCGAGTTCGATCCATTGTCTTACGCATATCCCGGAGAGAAGTCATCCTCGCTGCTTGTCGAAAAACGCCTACGATTTAATGAAATCCAATTCGACATTGTGTACACATGGGTAAACGGAAGTGATGAAAGGCACCAAGAATTACGCAAAATTTATTATAATGGAGATGGTCATAAGGCCGCGAATTCGGAAAATCGTTATCGTGATTATGACGAATTGCGGTATTCGGTGAGATCGGTGGAAATGTTTTTGGGACGTTTCGTGAATAAGATATTTATCATTGCAACAGATTTTGATAAGGAGGAAGTTACGAAGAAAGGCCGAACGCAGCTTTCCGAAATAATGCAAGTTCCAAGGTGGTTGAATACGACATGGAAGGATTGCGTCACGGGAGAACCACGTGTTCAGATGGTAAAGCATAGTGAAATATTTACCGATCGCTCGTTATTACCTACCTTCAACTCGTTGGCCATAGAAAGTCAGATGATGAACATTCGGAATTTGTCGGATCAGGTTGGTGGGCCATATTCTATTTGAGGAATTGATTTTAAAAAATCATATCGGATCCCAACTTTGAAAAAAACATTAAACAGGTACTTTATCTAAACGACGATCAATTCTTTGGCAAAGCTCTCTCGCCCATCGATTTCTGGACTCCGTTATACGGTCAGGTGTTCCACCTCGAGCACCACCTCACCATCCCACCAAATCATTATGGATCAGCGGAGGACGTGGGTGAGTGGTATTCTCTGTATTATACAAATCGATTGTTAAGTAAGTGTATTTTATTTTTTTTTTTTTTCAAATAATTAAAACAGAAGAAAGTAGTTTGTCGATAGCCAATTTAAGGAAGATCTAACAATTAACAATCTCGTTTAATCAGGTAAAAGGTTTGGCTCCCGATTTCGTCCCTACGTCTCCCACTCCGTGCACTCCCTCTCCACCAGCATCTTGCGTTCCATGGTTGCCGAATTTCCCGAGGAATTCAAATTCACCTCCTCTCATCGATTTCGAAATAGCGCTCTTGACCTGCACACCACTTTCTTTTTCACGCACTATGTAATGGAGAAACACCGTGAGGCTTTACTCCGTAGCTTCCTAATCTATAAAATGGATGTTAATCACAACATGAATTATGAACTTTCCGAAAGAAAGGCGATATTGAAAGAATTAGGTGATGGAAATGTTTTAAGCACCCCCCGGAAGACCTTAGAGGACTACCAGACCATCTTAAGAAGAGCGGAGATATACGAAACCAAGGAAACGAACTACAAATGGTCGAGCATGGACGGGTATGCATATGCCCTCATATCACCCATGAAAATAGATCATGTCACGAGGAGGCCCCGTTTTTTTGATCCGTTTAATCATCCACCTGATGCTAGAAGTTGTAGATTAGATTTGGAGTATTGCTTCGGAAATGAGTTTATGAGTGATGATGAGAATATTTTGGTGGATGTAAATAGTGTATTCAAGGAAGTAACAGTGAAAAAAATTGAGTGCGGTGACTGTATAATACAACATTTGGTATCCAAAAGTGAGGAAAGAGGACTGAAGGCACTCTTGCCTTCTGAGGAATTAGAGGGAAAGGAGAATACAGGGGATGAGGGTGATTCTATATATGAACCCATGATCCCAAATTCAAATGTCCCAATGTCCTACCGCACCCTTGCCATAACAGAAATCTCTCGCTACTCCTATGTAATAGGTGGGAGTTCATTTCAATTCATCTATTTGGATCACCCTATGAAAACGTGGGATAATCTAAAACACATTTCTGAAGAAAGACCTTCAATATTTTGTCTAAACGACGAGGTGGGCTCCGATGTCCAAGAATTAAACCGAATCAAAGAATATGTAAGACAATTTATGCGAGAGTATTTTTATAATGTAAGCATGTATGAAATTTCAAGCGATGACGGTAGTGATGGAATTTGGGGATGGTTTAAGAGACTTCTTTTCCTATGAGGAGTTGATCTTTGGTGGGGTGGGAAATAGATTGGGAAAATTGGGTGGGACTGGTTTCCTAGAAATACTGTAAAGCGTACCTTAAATATTTAAAAGTAATAAATACATAGTGAATACTGTAAAAAGTACCATAAATTATTTAAGTTTGTCTAAACAAGAATAGATTTAATTAAATCCGCAAATTTAACTTTGTAAAATGAATGGTTGGTGTCATTCTCGTGAATCGAGACTGTCGATTTCTCCTATTACTGTACAGTATTTTGATGTGGATAACAAATACTGCATCACGGAATTATTGAAGTATAAGTAATGTCGCACAAAAATAAACTATTCTTGTTAGTAAATTTCACAGTAACACTTGCATAATGAATGGCGCTTGCATGAACAAGACAGTATGCATACAGTAGTTTGTTTCATACAGAGTATCCCACGTGCTGCACGAGGGTTCTTTCTTTAAAACTACCATGAAACAAAGTCGAGTCTGAAGTTGTGCTGATCTAATAAATGAAACAAATCGGGTTGTCCTCCTACACTGCCGGCCTAAATTGTCTTTGGAAAGTGCGAAAATTTTAGCGTACGTATTCAGTAACAACCAAAGTTGCACAGAATAATCTTTTTTTTTTTGTTTCAATCAATTAACTTGTGCATGTCGCCTGTTCTGTTTTAGGCTATAAATATTTTTTGGCTTATGTAATCGACGCCTAATGAGCATATGGTTTAGTTCGAATGGAAACAAAAAAAAATTTTTTTAATATGTATATAAAAAGAATTATTGATAGTATATTAGTACTTTTACTTATTTTTTTTATTTTATAATTTTTTTAAAAAAATTTTTTATAAGAAAATTTTTTTCAAAAATAAATAAATAAATAAATGATAAGAAATTATAATTTTTAATTAAAAAACAATATAAACTTCTTATAAAAATAAGTTTTACCTATGAAATTATAATTGTAATAAAATTAATAAATAAAAAAATATTTGAATTAGTAAAATAAATAAAAGATAAACTTAATAAATATCAAAATTATCAATTTAAAAATAAAAAAAAATTGATATTTACAAATATCCTCTTTCTAGTAACATATTTAAGCAATTATTTAAGTTTTGAAACTTGTTTAAAATCTATTTTTCCTATATTTAACGAATTTTTTAAATTTGAATTTTATAAAAAAATTAGTAATCTTAATTTTATTACAAATAATTTTTTTTTTTTTAATTTAATTCAACTTTATTTTATTTGTATTTATACAATATTATTATGCTGATACTTATCTTATAACTTGTTATTACTTCTATTATTAAAGAAATTAATCTATCAAAATTGAACAAATACTGAAAAAAATTTTAAATATATAAAAATTATTTATAATATTTGTTTATTTGTTTATAAAATTGTTAATCAAGTATATATATTAATTTTTTTATAATTTTTTATATATTAAATCTATATTATCTTTTTAACTTATAGCTTATAAATTTTTTTTTTAATAATTTTATTTTTAAATTTTTGAATTTCTTTTTCAAGAGATTTCTTTTTTTTTTTTATGACAATTTTAATATATTACTTAAGTAAATCTTGATTTTTTTTTCAAATTTCTTTAAGATGTTAACTGTTATCACTCCAAGTCTATGGTTTCCTTTTTTCTTTATAAAGTATGAATTTGTTGGTAGGATTAGTTCTCTGTTTCTAGTAGTATATAAACTATATTCACTTATATAATGAAAATAAATGGCTAACCTTTCAGATACAAGAGAAAAAAATATTCTAAAATATATAGAGGAAACAAATCAAAAAGAGAACAACTTTATTATTCAATAAATAGTTTCACAAACTATAGATAATATATATAAAATTAAATAAGATCTAAATAAAAAATTTTTCATAAAATTAAAACTAAAGAAAATACTCCTATTTGATTTATTTGTTTGATTGATGTAGATCAAAAAATTAGCAAAACATTATATAGCTAAATAATTAAAAAGATATGAAAATATTCAAAATATCATATCTATAAAGTAAATATTAAGGTATATATCAAATGACACAAATATCTTTTTTTTAATCTAGAAGCAGAATGGTTGACTCCAATTGATATAGAAATATCAAGAGCTATATTCTTAAAATGAGAAATAAGTAATAAGGAAATCAACAATATTCTAGTTGAGAGAAACTATAACTCAGCATAACTTTTAGGTATAAATAAAACATATACTAGTTTGATAGTCAAGACATTAAATGGTACTCAAGTTAAAGCATACTATGTACTTAAAGATTTCTTTTCTTGAAGTTTCAAATATTCTACTAACTTAGAAAAGAAAAAATCTAAAAAAGTAATTAAAAGCTCAAAAGCAAGATATGAATATAGAAAATAGAAATAATGAGGATTTAGCTTCACATATACTATCAGATACTAAATCTATAAAATCCATCTCTATCTTTAATAAAAATCAGAACTAAACAAATTTAAGATAAATTAGATATCACAATAATAGAAGAATAAGACAAGAAATCAATAGATCTAATAGATATCCTACAACAGGAAGCAACAAGAAACCAATAAATCAAAGATACAATTATTATAGAAATACAAGATATGAGTTACAATCAGAAGTAAAAGTTGTACAAGATCACTTAAATCATATTCTAGCAACTTGAAAAATTAAATAATAGAATAGATAAATTAAAAGAACAATCAACTTTCAAAAGATCTAAATATAACAACAAAGGAGCAAATCACTTCTAAGGCATATCAGTTATTTATAACAATCATGAGGAGCAAGAGTCTAGTTTTTTCTCAACAATCATAATAAATAAGAATAAAATATAATTAAATAAGTATAATAATACAGTAGAATATAATAATTTAAATATAATATCATTTTTAAATAATAAATGACAAATGTTTTTAAATAAAAAAATTTAAAGTAAAATAATAGAAACAAACAACTAAAAGAATGTAATTTCTAATAAAATGGTATGAATAGGTATACATAATATCATATGTATTATAGATAAGACAAATCAATAAAGTCTTATTGAGAAAATACAAGAAAAAGGTATAGATATATCAGGATTATGTGAAACAAAATTAACTTAAATCAATGAACAATAGGCCTTCAACAACTAAAAATTCTATAATAATTTTTATAGTACCAATAATAAGATATAGAATTTAGTTTTTTGATCAAAAAAGATCTAAAAAAAAAAGTTGCATCTATAGAAAAAGAATATGAATATATAGTTGATGTCATCTGCTCATTAAATGAAAAAAAATTTGTATTATACAAATCTATATTCTATTGGATAAAAAAAGAAGTAAAAAGGTATAAAAGAAATTAACAAATCTCATAAAAAAAAAGTATAGGCTAGATTATTTTACAATTGTGATAAGAAACTTCAATGCAGTTTATAATTTATCAAAAAATAGACAAACTTTTTACAAAATTATGTTTAAACTATAATAGCATCCAGAAATTCTATTGTTCAACTTTCTAGATGAATGGGGATTTATAAATATATATTATAAGCTACATAAAAAGATAAAAACAAAACTCTGACAAGATGAGACTCAATAAGCAGTAGCAAAATAGATTATATTTAAATATTATATAATCTAGTAAGTTACAGTACCTCTTACTTTGATTTGACAATTAAGATATAACAGATATTACAGTATAAAAAGTGATCCCACTATGCTATTAATTACACTTCATAACAAAAACCTGTTCATAAGAAGTAAAGTCAATAAACCTTTTACAAATACTCAAAAATGAATAGACATAAAGGGATTATTTTCTTTATAATAGTAAACATATCAAGAAAATCAGGATTACAAGTTTAGAACAATACTCCAACCCATGTTATAGAAAGAATCTAATTAAAAGAAAAGGAAAACTCAAGTAAACAGGCTTTGAAAAACTTTTAAAAAACTACTATGCAAAACAGTTTTCAATAAATTTGCAACTAAAAATGTAGCTCTAAATGAAAAATGAAAATATAAGTACAACCTTAAGTTTGTTAAATATAGAAAAACCTTATAACTAAAAGAGCTTTTTAACAAGACAAAAATATTAAAAAATATAGTTAATCTATAGACCCTTAACTTGATTATAGAAAAATATAATACTATTCACAAATTCAATCACTAGATTGAAAATATCTATATTTAATATAGTATTTTCAATATATTCTGGAGGATCTTAAAAAAAGATATCAAAATATAATAGAAGGACTAAAATTTATATGTCAATGATTGGAAATCAAAAAGACAAGAGATACAATCAAAGCAATTTTAAAATAAAGATGTGGAGATCTATGACACAATTAAAGAAGAATGGTTAACTTTCTAACAAATTGAGTTAGAAGCAGATTATATTTAATAAAATTAAAATCAAGAAAAATACTGAAAATATCACAATACAGAAAAGTGAAATCAAAGAAGAGATCAGAAAGTATCATATAGAGGCATTCAAAAAACAAAATTCTAGTTATGACAGTCTATCAAAGAATTGGAAGGATGAGTATAGGTCCAAAGAATTTACAGTATATAAGAAGCTTGATATAAAGAATTATTCAAATCAATCTTTCAAAAAGAATTAAGTAAAACATTACATATACTTCCAAATAATAAAGCTCCAGGCAAATTATAAATTAGCTATAAAATGCTTAAAAATTAAGTCAGAAAGAAAAAGAATTCTTGAGAAAAATGCTTAACAACTTTCTTAAATCGAAAGTTACTCCAATTTATTGAAAACAAAGTTAGAAAGGAAAGGAATTCTTGAGAAAAATACTTAACAACTTTCTTAAATCGAAAGTCACTCCAATTTATTGAAAACAAAGTCATATATATCCAATAGCTAAACCAAAACTATGGAATTGTGAACTCTCAAATACTAAACCTATTGTTCTAATAGAGATCACAAGAAAATATTTCATTAAAATCCTTACCAATTAAATGGGAAAAATTTGTAAAGTCAATAATATCCTCAAGGGATCC